CCCTAACTACTTTAGAAGTTTATGACTTCATATTCCAGGTATTAATAAAAGATTTTCATCAAGAAGAGGTTCCTGTGGTATCAGTGACTAATAATAGCTCCAATTTTGTTGCATACGCAGTCACTATCTGGTTGATTTGTGTAGGGTGCAGAAATCTGTTCATTGTTCGCGGACACCCTTGTCCTAATGGTCGAGGAAGTAGTTTCGTTGGGACATTCGAAACTGCTATTAATTCCACTGCCGCTTCAACATTTAATGAACTGGAGAGAAGAGAAGTAAACACTTTCTACTGCAACATAGAAATGCTAAACATTCTCTAACGAAAGAGACTATCAAAGCTATTAAAAGGAAGAATTCTTCCTTCAAATATGAGGTGTTTGGAGTCTTCAGCTGTTACATATTATCGTAGAAATGATTTTCGAGCAGCCACGGAAAGTGTGGTGTAGAATGACCCGAAATATAGATATCGACGATTAAAGTACGTACAACTGACATGTCGATCAACTACAATTCCAGGAACCAGGTGAGCTTGTTTTATTTTCGGCTGTTAATTCTGATACTGCTTAGCACATTGTAGATCATACACAGTCTCTACTCAATACACAGACGGATAGACACATGATGAACCCAAAAAGAAGTATAATGGATTACCGAAATTTGGATTAATATTGTAGCCATGGTGGTTGTGGTATTTGAAATAACTGATGATTCCTTGGTACTTGATAACACGTTGATCACAAATTCCAAATATAATACGTTCATCTGTGCTCATTTATTTCTACCTGCCTCAAATGATCAATTTCTGGAATTCTTTGTTACCATATTAATTCGTATTCTTCTAACTGTCATAATATGTTATTTGTACAAACCGATAACTTGATTGCATGACTAGTAGGAATTCCAAATATAATACATTTAATTGACCTCGTCACGTTTCACCCGTCTTTAATTTCATTTTTCTTGGAATTTTTAGTGAACACATCAATTCAAATACTTCTGGTTATCATACTGCACTCTTAAGGTAAAAATCTATTATTAGTTGAGGTCAGGAAATTAACGATATTTATATCTCATTCGCAATTGATGTGGCCTAATCCAGAGTCATCACCGAGGAGTTTCTGTGCAATTTTCTGCCTTATTTGAGGTATAGGCCGCCTATAAATAGTTTTTACAGAATCCCTCACTGTGTTTTTTATTCCATATGGCTAAGTGCAAAGCGTTATCTTGTAAAGAACGTGGCGCATTTTTTCATTTGCTTTGTAAGATCAGTTAAATGCCGCTGGAACCTAGCCAAATCATCCAGCAGTCAGAAAACTGAATATCGAACAGTTCATCGGTCCTTGTTAAGGCAAAGCCAACCAGCACGCCTCAGCCGATTGCACTCACTTGAGAGGCCCATGCAACGCTGGTTTTACTCTGTTTCTTTGGTCTTCTCTTTCTAATGTATTTTTGTAATAACGTCGTTTGTGTTGTACGGCCATCAAGGTAGCCATAGTACCTGGATATGACGAAAAGGGAGCCCGTGCCAATATCTAACCGTGGGGTGTGGCTTCGACGTTAGCTAGATGGTCGCCGTTGAACTTTTATTACTAGCATGACTTCTGTGATTGTTATGTTTTAGCAGACTTTTCTGCTAGCTTTTTTGCTCTCATATTACTAAACTATAGTTCTTGTTATCAAACCTATTTCTGTTGTTCTCACCATATCTTTAGTATATTTCCGTTTGTATACTATGATTCTTGTTTTCACTCGTTTGTTTGTTTCCGTTTATTCGACTTATGGTGTGGTTTCTTCTACTTTGGTCCGGTTACTGTTGACTTCTGTCTTTTTGTTCTCCCTTTCTTGGGCCTTATCCAGAGTACTTATTGGGATCCACGCTTTCTACCGGTGGTTCCTGCAGTCAACCACCTAGGGCACCAAAGCTTTTGATTCTTTTACGGTTATTATCCACAATAATCTCTTCCGCTAGTAAGTCTTCTAAAACTTCGAATTCATTTCTGAGGGCTATCTCGCATCCGCATAAATCGTTAGGTTCTTGAAGGGAGGCTGAATCAAATTTACCCGTTCGTCCATAGCCACTTAGCTTACATTTCAGCTTGGCCACTGTCAACTGGTGATCTGAAGCTGTACCAGCCCTCCTCTTTGTTATTATGTCTTCTGAGAATTGTCTGGATTTTGTTCAAAATCAGGTTCAGTCTGCTTGGTTCTTCACGAGCTGGTCATGTGAAACCCAAGTAACTATGTGTAACTATCTGTGGGAGCTAATTGCATCACCTATAACTATGTTGTTGAGAGCACACAGATTTCCAATCCCCTAACCATTATCATTTCTTTCTCACAATCCATGTCACCCCATGGTATCCTTTTGTCAAGTGTAACGGAAAGAATACAATAAATATCCCTCGGAAGTGTTTTATTGAATAATATTGTTATTTCTTTGTTCTGCTCTACTGCCTTGCATCTGAACTTACTGAAGTCCCTTACGATCATGTTCTACGCTCTTCAGCATTCTTTGTCTGCGGCTCTACCGTTTGACTTTAGTTAGAGGTTCAAATTAATTACTTAATATTACCGTTTACACGTTGCCAGGCCGCAGACGATATGGCTGTGTTTGGCTCAGGATTACGTCATGGTTCTGTTAATGGTTGCTAACATTTGCTTACAGGAAGCAGTTACTTGAATCCGTGCATATAGATATTCTATCGCATCTTGTTGAGAATACTTTTATTGATTTTCAGGGGCCGAACATAACTTATTAACTATTCCTTTTGCCATTTTGTGCTAAATAAACCTTATTTTGTACAACACAGATTTTACCGTGCGATGTAATTTATGCTTTTCATATGATGTTTTTTCTTAAATTAGCACAATAATAACTCAACAACATAGTACAAACTAATCGCCAACGATTTTTCATCACCACCGTACATAAACGTCGGGTATTGACAATCGCATAATAAGACTAGTAAGATTTACAAAACCGCTATTTGTCACAAGTGGTATTTAATACTTCAGATCTACTGGATAATTTGAATTCAAAGAGTAGTTAAGCTATCTCAACATTTCACTAGAAGATCTACTATGTTTTGGATTCTTCGTAAAATGTATATCTATTCTCACTTTGATTGGCCAAATATATTGTTTCTTATAAGCATCACTCCTCAAATCGATTTGACACAAGGTATATTTAATAGCTGTTTTTAAACTAAACAAAACTATGATTATACTGAAAAACAAATCATATTGATTGGAAGTATCGACTACATTTATAACTTTATGGCACGTAATTGAGTTGATATTTTGCTTAAATCAGTAAATATCATAACGAAAGAGTGTAAACAATGACTGAGGTAACAATTTTTATTTTATAAGGTTAGATGTACGATAAATATTTATGAGATGACAAACCGAGGTCTACAGGAAAAGCTTGGGGTCATACGAGGAAAAATTGGAACAGCTCACTTTTACCCGTACTTATGTTTCAAGTAGCTCCAATACTTGCTCCTGGTCGGTATTACTCGATCAAGTTCAATGTCGAACGAGCTCATTTCATACGGTAAAATAAAGCCCTTAAGTGCCGAAATAAAATAAAGCTTGTCAGTCGCCATAAATAAAAATTTTCATACTGAATATATGCAGTTTGTTAGACATTTAATGAATTCGTAAATAGACTGTAAATTAACTTGCAAAGAACATTTTTGCAAATCACCGGTGTGGGCAAACCGGGTAGGACGTGAACGTTATGACCTCTTAGCTAACCACGAATGCACACCTCAGACCTAATAATTAATCTGGATCGTCCTACGTAATAACCAGACGAACCGATTGCTTTGATGACTGGATAGAAAAAATCGTATAACTGCTAAAACAGGGTGCACTAGTACGAACACGTTAGTGAAGTACAGAGAAAGACCACTGCTGCATGCGCCTGTTCATGAGATGCGACCGACTGATCTACCTAAGTCACCCCGACCTTGGTGATGTTCGATAAACGATCCGACGCTTAATAATCTATTATGTAATTCTGAAGAGACTCGGCTTGATGGTCGTTTGCTAATGCTTTAGTGGATTTTCACTGGCCGTTAATCCTCTTACTGCCTTGAAATAATAATCATGAGCAGACGAATATCCTGGTTCCAGGGTTCTAACGTCTTGCAAATCCAGCAAAAAGGTCAAATAATTTGTACCAGTCCCCACTCCCAGCAGTGGTACCTTAGTTCCTGTTTCTGAGGTTTACGTAAATCAGAAATCTGTACTGCTCGTTGATCGATAGCAAATTAGTGTTGAAGATATCCTCTTCGTGATCAGTCACTGCCCCATCTCAAGGGGATTCGCCTCCTTAAAACGTCTTTTAACTTGTTTTTGGGGAGGGCTGTTCGCTGTTTGTGTTGACCCAAAGTTTATTATTTTAGACCAATCGAAGTTCGTTGCATATATTTGGCTTTTTTCCGATCGTTTCTAATATTTCTCGGAGAAAGTTTCCTACCCTGTATGCTCACGCCGTTCAGGACATTTGGTGACGACCACAGTCTATTCATCAAACCATTTTTACACTGGTTTGTTAGACATATGGTTCGAAAAGAAGCTTTTGAAGTTCCAAGAAACAGCCACTGCTCATGTATCTGGGTCAAAGTCAGTTGATGGAGGTGCTAGCTATATCTGGTGTCATTTGATTGGAATATTGTACTTGATGTAGATTTGTTAACAATGACATTATGCTGAATGAACCGAAAGGACTTCCACTACATTATTCTGTGCAACGAGGCTTGCCACTACACGTTTTGCTTAAACTTACACTTCTCGAATTAATAATAACTAATAAAATTGCTTTATGGAGTGATATACTTCCGGTTATGTAAAGGACGAAGTTCTCTTAACTGCTTTAGCATAAAAGATTCACGTTGACTTTTTAAATGAGGTAAAATAACATTTTCAATATTCACACTACTCGGTTCTCTGGGTCACGCACGTTTTTGATTTGTTTCAGGACTCTGTTTAACATGGCTATATATGATTACGAGGGGCACGTAGATGATGATGATGTTGAATCGAATAAGGATGTCCCCATAGACACGGCATGGGAATTACAACAAAAGAAGGTACAGTAGCATTTTTATTTTGTGAAATATTTGACTGCAGACTTTTACCGCGTGGTGCAATGCTCACTTAAGAAATGTTAATAAACAAATTAACGTCATAGAAAATGATTTTCGCGATGGAGTAATGTTAATCAAATTACTTGAAGTTATCTCTGGTGAATCATTACCGGGTCCTGAGAGGGGAATGCTGAGGTTTCATAAAATTGCTAATGTAAACAAAGCTCTCGATTTTATCCAGAGCAAAGGCGTCAAGCTGGTGTCTATCGGCGCTGAGGGTAATATTTTAAAGTTGTCCATCACTTTCTAGAAATTGTCGACGGGAATCCAAAAATGACTCTTGGGATGATATGGACAATCATTCTTCGCTTCGCTATCCAGGATATCCAGATAGAAGGTATAACGTCCTAATCCCTCACCTTGTTCTGATTCAGATTCATCTGCTAAGGAGGGTTTGCTGCTTTGGTGTCAAAGACAGACTGCACCGTACAAAAATGTGTGCGTGGAGAATTTCCACACTAGGTTTGTTAATGTACATCAAACTAAAGATTTTCTAGTTTTAAGGATGGACTAGCGTTTTGTGCCATAATACATAGAAATCGGCCTCACCTAATCGATTACTCTCAACTTAAAAAGGTGTGCAATATTTTTATCTTATACCACTCTTCCAGGGTGATCACATCAAAAATCTAAATCTTGCTTTTGAAATAGCGGAAAAACACCTTGACATTCCAAAAATGCTCGATCCAGAAGGTAAAGTAAATATGTCTAATGTTAATGACTCTTAGATATGGCAAGCCGCAAGAACTGTGATGAGCAATCTGTGATGGCTTACTTGTCTTCATATTATCATGTGTTCTCAGGATCTCACAAGGTAGTTTTCTTGGATTTATAAATGTAAATTTGCTTTTTTCTTTGTTTGCAACTAGTCAGTTTTTGGGTTTCGGTTTTTTAGTTTATCATAATCATGTGCATCTGCCTTTGATATTCTGTATTTCTCGTCCAGTTTATGCTACTTAGTTTGCCTGTTGCATTAATCATTTTTTTCAGACTGACATCGCAGCTACTCGTATCGCTAATAACCTTCGGATGATTAGGGAAAATCAAAATCTAGAAGAATGCTACGAAACAATTTCGACTAACCTTTCGGACTGGATAAAAATAAAGCTACGAGAATTCGGAGTAAGTTACGGTAAATTATTTTCTGACCCTGACTTTTGTAGTTCAGGCTACCATAGTTTTTCGTATTTGACAATATAGTCAAATATTTGCCATAAGGCTCTTCAATCACTAAGCAAACTGGGTTTCAACAGGTACTTTAACTGTTAGTTGGTGTTGAAGCAGTTTTGATAACTAGTACTCACCTATCCACGTAGATTGGTTCATGTAATTATTTTGAAATCATTCCGCGGTCTTACCATTATTCCTCCTTTCCAACGAGTTGGATTTGGGTTGTATATAGTTTCAGTGTTCTTATTTTAGTGTATTCATTCCTCAACTATCCAGTCGATATTTCTTTGCTTAACACATATTTCGCATTGTTATTTTACAGGGAAGTGCAAAATAATTTGCGTCCAATGGTGGTCTGTTAGTGTATGTGTGTAAGAAACCCCACTGACTAGCTATCTAAACGTTTGAAGGTCGTATTTTCCCAAAGTCTTTAAACAGTTTTGGATTTGTTTGTGTTATTCTAATCTGCACCGATCAGTTGTCATTTTATCTCCACAAGTTACAGTATTTATGATTCGTAAAGAACCCCCAGTTCGTAATTCGGTTGACTATACTTATTACAGTTTATGCTCTACTGTTCCTTCACTTGTTTATCCTATTTCAGCAACGTGATCCTCAAACATCTGTTTCCGCTGTTGAAGGACTACAGCAGAAGTTTAGATTGTATTACCGCCAAGAAAAACCATCTAAGTTACAGGAAAAAGCTCGCTTAGAGACAACCTACAATACACTCCAGACTCGTCTGCGATTAAACAATAAGTCTCCTTATGTACCAGCCAACGGACGCTTGATAACGGATGTTGCTAAGAATTGGAGTTCTTTAGAACAGGCTGATAAAATCTATGAGGTTAGTGTTTGGGATTTCTGTCAAGTTTTTTATGTAGTCATTTGTCATTGGATAACACCTCAATATACATCACAATATATTGATCACTGCCAATTCATGATTTATGAGATTGTTTTAGGCGTCTGGTGAATCGTTACACGTAGTGGTAATTAAGTAAGCGAACTGGGGTGTTGTTGCAAGACTTGGCCTAATATAATTAAAAAAAGTACGTTTCTTTGTATCTGTCCATAGTTATGATCACTAACGTATCTATTTCTCTATCGCTGTTTAAATGGCACTGTGCTACGGGTATTCATGTATTCATAATGAGTCACTTGATAGATATAGTGCCTCATTTTCTTAAATTTTATTCCGAATGTTTTGGATGCCAGTCTTGGATATTTATCACCAAAACGACTTCGAGAATCAAGTCGTTCATATCCTAAAAAGAAATTTAAATGACAATTCTGTCTTATTTTTTCACCTACTCCAGCTTTTAAGTGGAGTAATATGCCCTACTGTTCATCTGGTCTTTTTAAATGATATTCTCCATGTCTAGTGTCCCAATGCTACTAATATATCCTTCAATCCCTTAAATTTCATCTCGTTAATTTCCTCTTTATATGTGCAAGCCGCATTTTTCATTCAATGTTGTTTGTTTCTACTGTTCAAAACAACCTATATATTCTTACTTCTAGGAATGGCTATTAGAAGAACTACAAAGGCTAGAGCGTCTTGAATATCTGGCTAAGAAATTCGAGGTGAAATGCTCCACTCATGAGGCATGGACTAATGGGAAACCAGAAGCGTTGGCTTCAAATGACTTCCGCTCAGCTATGCTATCGGAAATGAGGGCATTTCAAAAGAAACATGAGGCTTTTCAATCGGACATGACTGCTCATCATGCTCGCATAGAGCACATTCAGGCGCTTACCGAAGAACTTAAGTAAGCCTTTTCTTGCTCTTGGACGAAAATACTGAATTCCTCATTCGAATTTATTTATGGCGTTTTAAAATTTCGCTTCCAGAAATGTATCGCACAAATAAAGTGGTATTGTGAGAAAGGAGTGTCATGCAAGCAATAAACAAGTGAACAAGAATAGCAGTTCGTTAAAATATATGGTCAGGATAGAGTCCTTCCAGTTAAGGGAGTTCGACCTGTCTTAAGCTTAACGTTCGGTAGATTTCTTTTTGAGTTCTACCCTAGTTAATAGTGAACCGTGGTTTTGTCTCACCTTACAATTCAGTTTTTATAATTCTCCACTTCGAGGCTGGTTTTAGGATATCCTAAATTCTTAGACCACTGGTTTTATCCGCTCTACCCGTTTTCAGTGTATTGTTTTTTCTTTTACGGTCGCAAACTTTTGCCAGGATCTATCTAACTCACATTTCGCCATGCTCATCAAGAATCCATGTAAGCAATCTGTATGCCGTTTTGCTGTCATCCAAGGTATGAATACAGTGATATTGATTATTGTTAAAGGTATGACGACAGTTATCACTCCCCGGCTGCCCACACCGTTGGAAGGTTCTTCTGGAGCTACCTGAGATGGAAATTGTGTTATAGGTGGTTTTGTTGGCCTGAGAGCGTGACCGCAGTACTCAAGGGACAACTGCTTGAGGCCGGTCGCACATGACTTTCTGTAAGTAATTTTCTTGTTAGCTCAGTACTTGTCGAAACCTTAGCGCTGGAGTCAGATATCCGTGGGATAAGGCAAGGTGGGTATTTTTAGGGTCGAGCTTTTCTAGCCCTACACTTCCTTGTGGGAAGGCAGCGTCGCTGTTATGCTGGTTGTTTGAAGGTAACACCTTACTGTTGTCCCACCTCTGTACAGTCAGCAGTACGACTTCACACCAGTCGTTGAAGTCACTAACTTCTGTTCTGAGCCATGTCGGTAGATGCAGACTACTTGGTTGCGGTCCATGTGACTATCGTAACCAATGGTTGGAGACTGTGGGTGACATGGCACATAATCGATCACAATGGCGTTTTCGTATTCACTCTTTGTCTGCACTTTAACCGTGAGATTAAAATTGCTTTATACCTTTATTTCTACAAACTAATTCTTTCTTCCTGTACTATATGCTTATACACAATCTTTCTTTTATATATTACTGCCATTGAAGTAACTAGTTCTATGAATTTGGTGTTCATCTTGTTGTACTAATGAGGTATGTCAACTTGGATCGATGCACATATGTGCCTGGTCCTACATTGTAGCTGACTAACATCCTTGTTATGCAGTGTGACAAATGTTTAGGTTGGTTCCACGAAGTATGCACAGATCTTATAGTAATTGCTAACAACAAACTTATTAAGTCAGATCGCAGGTGGATATGTGGCACATACAACATGAATGCTGAGGTTTTGCTGAGCAACATCATCATTCTCTTGAAATGTCTGAGAAAAAATTGTAAGCAACCCTGAAAAAAGGCAATCCTAAATTGAATAAACAAAGACGCTCAGTAAGGTAAAGAAGAGGGTCTTCAACATTATTAGTATCTATGGAACATGCATCGACACGAGTGAGGATATGCTGAAATTCAGCACCATCATCATATCGGCTGTGCTAAACTCTATCAGCAAACTTGTGTCCTTCAGTACAGGCTCCCTAAATGCAACTGTGGTCCCAACAAATTTTGTAGACAACTGGATCCCGTCAACACAGTTAAAAAAGATCGAGTGTCTCCGTCAAAATGTTGAAGAGCTTAGGTCTTGCAGGAAAACCACCTCATGAAGTGGCTGTGTAACCTACCTATATGATTGTCCAACTAGTCCGCAAAGAGCACGGGAATCCGAAACGCAACTCATCTACCAAGCAAAAAGGTCCCCAACTCCAACGTACCCGAGAACCTGGGAAAACGATCACGGTTCAAGATAATTATCTCATCACTATGAACCTTAAAGACAGCTCTGACCTTCCTTTCAGTCTGCAGGACAAAAATAACAGGTTGCTCTGGTATGAGTTAAACAGGAAGCTCAAATTTCCCTGAATCGAGCCGCTGACGGTTAAACGGCTTACTCCGAGGGCAGGATTCCAAGCACTAGAATCGTCCAAAACTCCTACGAGCAACGTTCACTCACACTGCTGACGGGGAGGATGTTCTGCTGGTCAGTCATTCGCTGAAATAGGAAGGGGACGTAAGAATAGCGTCTAATATACAATATTCTGAGCACAATGTCATCCGGAACATTCCTAAGGAATCTCGTGAGACGCTCTTTCCTGGAAGAAATATGATTGTTCAAGTCGTCCCAAAAAAGCACTGTTCCTGACCATGTAGGCTATTATATTCTAGAGTTAAAATTCACGAAGCAGTCCTTGAAACTCAAAAACATATTTACTCAACAAGAGTAGCGGTTGCTTTATCTGTTCATATAGCTATAAAATTAACTATTAGTTGTAACCACTCATTTTTACCAAGCTGGTAATCATTTTTATGTTGAAAAAAGTTTTTACGTTTTGTGCCAATACTATTATTTTACCTTTCAGTAAACTGAATCATTTTAACATAAATGCTTTCAATCAACGTTACAATACCATTATAACCACATGGGATGAAATGAAAAAGTTGTCCTCTCAAAGAGAACGAGAAATATCTGTGAGTTAGGTGTATATTGCTTTGATATTTTAAAGATATTATTTCAAATGATTCTTTCATATTTCTCGCCATTGAATATACCTGTCATTCTTATAATGAGACAGTTAGTTTTGAAACTTGAATGTTTATTAGTTGGTTTACTGTGTAAGGGATCCAAATCAGATCAGATAACTTTCATTCAATGGAAAAAGTGCTTTTACGAATTGAATGTAAACTCATTTTGCGTATAAAACTCATAATCCAGATGGTCATTTACTAACTCCATATTCCATTTGTAAGCAATTGTATAAATCCACTATTTTTAGTTTTACACATTACTTCCTATTTTATTTGTGTTTGTCGTTTTTGGTTAACAGAAAGCTTTGACAGCTCTGGAAGAAATCGACCAGCTTCACCTCGATTTCGCGAAACGAGCTGCAGTAAGTAAAAATTCTTTGTTAGCCAAATGTTTTTTAAATGATTTTGTGTTCGCGTAAACATATTCTTCAAATGGTTTAATACTTAAGTACATTCTTCTTGTATGCCAATTATTGTACTATTTGTAGCAAAAAAAGCACAAACGCTAATTTCTCACAAATAGTGAGTTGAATTGAAAAATGAGTTAGCTGGTATAATTCTAATATGGGATACCAATAGCAATAAGAGTAATAGGATTGATAGCTAAATTGATAATGAGGTAAATACAGGTTTTAAACTTCTAAACTGGGTCATTACACATCCGTAACTATGTATCACTTTTATGCTTAAACGTGAAGTGCTTACTTTGTTAACTATTGATGTTCAAAATGATATATGTTTATCAACTAGCATTTTGGAAAGTAGGAATTTAGTTTGACAATTGGTCTACAAAATCATATAAATTTCTGTTTTAAACCTATGATCTCAATGTGTTTTTATAGTTAAGTTTTTCCATACACTACTCAAAGATTGCATAAACAGTAATCTTTATTAATAGATTGATTGATTGAGTTTACTAAATTATTGCTCATATTTGTAAAATTTTATGAACAAATCCTCTACAATTCCTAAAATTTTTTATTAACTGCTACAATTATTTGTCGTTTATTTTAGCCATTTAACAATTGGATGGAACAAACAGAAGAGGATTTACGAGATACATTCATTGTTCATACAATGCCTGAAGTTGAGGTAAAATTATTGTAACTTATTCACAAAGAGGAGTAAGAAAGAGAAAAGTTTTTCTACGTAATCATAATTGTCAATGTTGTATGTAATATTGATTCAGTAAAGTTCTAATCCATTGGTTCGGGCATTCAAATTTCAACCAAATTCACTGGACTAGAATTGATTAATAGCATTTACTACAAGTTTTACCGTGTGCTTACTTGTTGTTTTTAACACTTTTTCCTGTTTTTTTCTGAAATCCTGCAGAGATTAATTGCAGCCCATCAAACATTTGAGAATACCTTAGATGAAGCTGAGAACGAAAGTCGTCAACTCCAGTTGTGTGCACAAAAGGTTGAAGAAATAGCTAGTGAATATAAACTGGTGAATGCAACTCAAAATCCTTATACAAATATTGAACCTCATGTAAGTTTCTTAATTTGAAATTTGTCGTAATTTGCAAATAAATTTAAATTTTCGGATTAAACGATTGGAGAACACTGGATATTTTCATCGGGATTTGAAACTTCCTTTTGAGATACAATGATTATGTTTTTAGTTACAGCTGAAAAATTGTTTTCTTTGCCTAATAATCCCATAGCTTGTACTACCAAAGTTTTTTTTTATATGCTTATGATTCCTCTACAATTTGAAATCTGAACACAAGTGTCGAGTATCTTAACAACACAGTAAAAGGGAAATGATCAACGAGTTGGAATATCATTAAATCATGGCATAAAAATCCCTAAAATTACGATTATGTGGACCGAGATAAGAAGTGACTAGACCCTCCTGTTAGCTGCCACTGTGCTTTCAGTCCAGTTACAATATGAGTTCTGACTTTTGATTGAAAAAAATTGATTATTATCATAGCTGATACTAATGTACTGGTACTGATATTGAAGATCGTTATTCGATATTTCAGTGACTTACACGAGTTTAACGAAAATAATTCCAGTGGTTTACATACCGAGCATTACTTCCTTGTATACATTACTTCACAATATTCATTTTTTGATTAGTGTATATCTTGATTAGTAAATGCACTATTGATCAAGCATAACGCATTTTGTAGTTTTATCTAATACTGACAATTCGAAAATAGCTGTTGTTTTATTTCTGTAGTTTCATGACTTTAATTTTATTGACCGAATGTAAACACTAAATTAAATACTAAAGTTCACTGTTATTTTGTATAATCGACTAGACATTTCAACATCTCACTAACATGATAAGTCCTAGGATTTTGAAGTAAAATATTTATAGTTATTTTATGTTCTCTTATTCTCAGTTATGATGGAAACCAGTTAAAAACCTAAGTTTCGCTATAGCTGCCTAGTGTACTACTTAACACTCCTCTGTTTACTAAATCTTGGTAAATTGTTATTTAGTTTGACTTGCCAAATAATAACGTTAAAATAAGGCTCCTTAACTGATCTATTTCATAACGTCTACATTACATTTCGTGATCTGTACGAGAAATCAGTCTGATTTAGTGTAAGTCATCAACAACTATGTTTGCTATAAATTGTACTGAAAGATCTACTAGCTTTTAAAGAGGTTAATTTACTTTGCTTATTTTTTTCTAATTTGTAGGTGCTTCCACAGCGTTGGAATATGATTCGTGAATTAACACAGAAAAGAAGTGCATTATTACATAGGGAACGTGAACGTCAACTAGCAAATGAGAAATTACGACGCGAATTTGCACAGAAAGCCGAAGCATTCAATTCATCTATTGAAACTCATCGTACAGAAATTGTTAAAGTTAGCATGGAATCACATAGTTCACTAGAGGATCAACGAAATAATTTACAGAAATTGGAAGAAGAATTAAATAGGCATCAGGATAAGTTGAATGAATTAGAACACGTTAATCAGGTCAGTTGACCCAAACATTATTTCTCTCGTTTATCTATTAGTGTATTTATCTGCAAAGGAAACTAGATTAGTGATGATCTTGTAGGTTGTCTGGGTTATGGAGATTTCCACATCTCAGGGGAAGTACGGGATACAATGGATGCAACTAGACGAATTGGACTGCGCAGATAACCTGCGCTTCTATCTCATACACACAAACAAGTGCAGGTAAATACAACCAGTGTAGCAGCAACCTCTGCAGCAGTAGGCCTCCACAGACACAAGGGAAAAAGCAACATCCTAAACTATAATACAGAACGCCCATACAGTCACACTTGATGAAAAAACTCTAGAAGAGGTGGAAAATTCCAAGTACCTGGACAGCATCATCGCTGAGCGAAAACGTAAAGGTGAGAATTGGTAAAGCAAGAACAGCATTCCTACAGTTGAAGAACAATGGAACGCAAAACAACTGTCAACCAATATCAAAATCAGAATCTCCAGTACGAACGTTTTACTGTTCTTCAGCCGACCTTTATGACATTGTAGGACATAAAGAATATGTCCCACCCAATATAGTTTGATTTAGTTATTAATATATGCCAGTTGTTATATTGGCTTTGTAGTTTTACCTTCGAGTTTCTGAGTTTTTTTGAATTCGCCGTGAGATGAATGCATTGTAGTTATTAAGCTGAACGTTAAACTGTACTTTCTCTTAGTTATAGGGAAACCTTTAAAACTTAAGTTAAAATCTTATTCTGTTTCAGACTCTCATCAATTGATAATTCTAGTTGATTACGCGTCCTTCACTTGATGACGAGTTAAGTTCTAAATAATAAATTAATCTGCTAACTAGTAGTTTTTCTACTTATCTTTGACTAAATTTTGAATTAGTCAGTATTGAATATCAGGGTTGAGTTAGAAAAAAAGTGATATCTTGAACGTATATAATTTTTTGCAAAATCCTCTATGTGAATATGCCTGTTCTTTTTAGAGAATGTTTCTTTTGAAAACGTAAAGTGAATTCGCTTAATTTTTTTAGCTTTAATTAGAAGTTGATCTGTTTTTGTCTGTGTATATAACGGGTTATGAATGACTAGTGTTAATTTTAAGTACCTGATAGTAATCTCAGTGTAACAATATTTGCAGAGCGTATTTTCTAGTTTTTTGATGGCAAATATTACAATCCATCGAATATCAGTGTGAATATGAATACTGAGATTCAGGTTTTTAAACTCAACTGTTGCGAATCTCAAAAGAGGAAAAAAACATGCGTTCTCGATCTCCATCGCTAGCCACTAGCCAAACTCCAATGATGTGACAATAGTTAATATCGTCATTGATTTAAATAATACTTTGATTTCATTTGCTTTTTTCTTTTTTTTCTTATTACCTAGGCATTAGAAGATGCATATATATTTGAAAATCCATATACTGTTTACTCAATGCCAACACTGCGCGTTGCATGGGAACAATTGTTCACTTTATTACACTACTCTGTCAATGAAATAGACAATCAGATATTAACAAGAGATTCCAGAGGATTAACAGCTGAACAAATGAATGATCTGCGTACTTGTTTCAAACATTTTGATAAAAATAATACTGGACGTTTAGAGCCAAATGAATTTAAGGCTTGTCTTGTTTCATTAGGTTATAATTTTAGAGATGATATAAAAAATGTAAGTTATAGCAATTATTACCATTATTGCCATCATTCACTATTTTATTGAATAATGTTCATTATTGTCATGTTTGATAACTGCAGCCCAATAAATTAAAAATCAACTCCTGTATTGGGCCAACATGGGAATTTTTGTTGAGTTCATCTAACTGTCAAATAAGTATTTTATGGCATAACCCTAAAAAAACAAATATGCTGTGGCCATAATTTCTTATTCATTAAGTCTAATCAAATCAGTTGTAACAGTTACTCTAGGTACGCTGTAATGTTTTGAGAAAGTTGACTTCAATATTGGGGTAAATGTTTTACTAACAAGTTACCACAAGTTAGAACTGTGGTTAGATAATCTAGACCTTCAAATTTAAAACCAGAATACCGTCAACCCCTTGGGGTCTACACAAAATTCGTTTCATAGTTGTGCACGCAAACTTGATATGGTTTCCTAGTTACTTCAAATGCTACAAGATTCAGATCCTCTTAATATCGTACTTTAATGTTCAACCAAATCCTTTATCTACCATTCTATACACTTAACTAAGTTTGGATAACTGTAATGATTGATGTAGGGTTTAATGGCTATGGAGTAATGTCACCGCTTTAATTTCTGAGTTACCCATTGTACTGTACTCTCCAACTGTTACTTTTCCTATGAACTCTCAGTTTTGTCTTTAACTACTTAAGAACAACCACGCAGGAGTGTACATAACACAACATAACCGACCGAATTTTCTCCATGTTTTGATTACTCTTGATTTAGGTTCTAAAGATCTCTGGGTATTATTATTATTTTTAAACATTTAATAATCGATTTACGTGGAATATTGTATACATCATAAGGGTTGAATCCTCTTAGTATTATATGATGCAGACTAAATTATGGTAAATCTAAAGAGTACGTGTGGATTGGAGGGCATTTTTAGATTTTTTTGAAAATATTAATTAAATCATTCACTAGGTACTTGGGCATGAGCCACACTCTAAGTGTGAAGGATAGTGGTGTTATCCGATTGTCCAGCCTAAATTGGAGCACGACTCGAATCTGTGCGATTCGAATGTCTTAATGATTAAGCCACCGCTCCGATTATTGGAGAGCTTTAACCTACTTAGGGATTAAGAAATGAATACATTAGATAGTTAAAGGTAATCGACAAAAAACTAGTTAATTTAACATTTACAGTGTTACAGGGTATTGATTTGCTAAAACTTTTCTACTTGTTTTACAACAGTCATTGCCAAATCTGGCATCTGGTTCACGTGGCTCCGTATGCGTAAGTTCCGAAAATTTTACTTTTACGTCTGAAGTTAACGTTTTGTATTTGTAATATATATTAATATGTATAATAGTAATAATCATTAAATGATTATAGTTTTAAACCTTTAGGGAAGTCTACCTAATTCATGTTGTGTAAAATATTCTGGAATAGGTATTCTTCATGTTATTTTTTATTTATTTATTTTAACACATTGATATTGGTACAAGAAGGCACCAAATACATATGCGCCACACAAATCTTATTCGATATGTGTGAGGGCTGTGATACTGCCCGGGTGCCCAAACCGAAGCAGGTGGTTTTCTTAGGGGGCCACTCCCTGAGCCTTTGATCTAAAGGTCTGACCCACAAGGCAGTGAAGCATCGTAAGGAGATGCAGTCTCATGGAAGCCGGTGACCAACGAGTGGTTCATACGCCATTTGTTCCCGCAGGATACTGAAGCCCATGTGCACCATCAGTTTGGGATCCGGTTAAAGCGCCGGACATTCGCTTTTCGTCCTCTCATTTTTGTTAATAACCCCCCCCCGTCACGAGAAGGCAGTGAGTAGGACTTCCCTGGCAGAGACTATATACGCGTGGCCGTGTGAGAGCATTTCGAGAGGGAGAGAGGACTCTCCCCACTCTCGGCCGTACCAGGGCATTTGGGGGCATTAATCTTAGTTCAGCGATTATATCACTTCTGATTGTTAGATTGCGTGTTCAAAGTTCACTCCATCTATCTTAGTAACGTTGATTATTATCACGAGACAACAATCACGAAGTATGTGGCTCATGTAATTGGTCTGGGTTGTCAAATGTCTCTTGTATTAAGTATTTTTACTATTGTTGTAGTAATGTAACGAACTTCAACCTTAAATTCATCAGAAATTCTGGTGATCTCATCCATAACACTCGTTTATGCATGCATCCAGATAAAATATAGCTTATTATGAGTGCAAGATATGTAAAGGGGAAGCATAAATCACTTTTTTAATGCATAAAAGGTTTTTTTCAATAATATCGGTTCATGAAGTTACTGTCTATTGGTATGCGAGTCGTTGTTAGGAGCAGATTACCTAATAGGAGTTCGCTCGATAATTGTGATCAATGGTCGAAGTTATTGTGTGGCATGACTCGAAATCAGTTGCACTAACAGACACTTATTCTTTGTTGCCCTTAAATTCTTTCTCAAACTATATTCTATATTTCATATCCTGATTTTTCTATCACTGATTTTTTCATTAACTCAATTACCAGGTACAGATTCGTGTACTTGACTTTGGGCCACACTCTAAGTGTTAGAGCTAGTGATACTATTGGGTTGCACATGCAAAAGTGAAGTAGGTTTTAAACTTCAGACCTAGTAGGTGAAAGTGCGACGTCTTGACCACTTAGCCATCGCCTCACTGGTACTACTGATATTCCTCTAATTCCTACTTGTAAATTTCATCTCACTGCTAATATGTAATACGACAACTTGGATTGATGCATATATATATCAGTTCTCATGTTACTTATCATCAACCGACTAATTGATGTCAATCCGACTGAATAATATAGGGCTAATTCACGGCTTAACAGGAAGGTTTCGAGAAAATTAAAAAATGGTCAATCGAAGAGCAAAATCATATATATATATATATATATATATGATCATGTCTATTCACGACCCAATTACTAGGCATATGCTCATAATATGTAAATAAATATTGTTTACGGACATAAGAAAGTAAACTAAACAATGAATCATTAGGCTAAATTTAATTGATACTATTTCCTTCCTGTCATTCATTAGGACATAATTCTAATGAACTTACCATGACTTAGATCTATTTTGGAATAAAGTGAATCGTTACCGCCAACGCTTTTGTTTTCATTAGTTTTGTCTATATTTTCTATAAAGATGAATAATCTGTCGTCTTCGTAATTTTATACGTTGTGTTTACATTTAATTGAAGTTTGTCTCCTTTCTGATCTTTTAATGGGTACCTTGGTTTTAATTACTTTTGAGACTTTTTTTGTTTGTATTATTCTTAACTCTGTTATTGTTTTGTAACATAATTTATTGTTAGCAAGATGGTCACAGATGAAGTTGTACATCGTTTTTAATCAAATGTTCTAATGACAAAGCCTGACTTCATCTCTATCCTTATTTATTGTCAATATGTTGTTTGTTGTTGGTAATGGGGGGAAGAGCATCAGTCCATAGTAACTGACATCTGTGATCTAAGTTGTGCAGATAAGGCGACTGGATTTTTTCTAGTTCGTGTCGATATCTATAGTTGAAGATTTTAGCTGATATTGTAGAGTAATATGTAGTAAGCGTTTTATCCATTAAATTTTACATAACAAAGTACCTTATCATTGGTAATTCCTTACTTCTGCTGTGTATATATTCGGTTTTTTAATTTTAATGCACTAGAGCCTTGATTGACATAGATGAGCCGTAAGTGAGAAAATTGGTCACCACATAATAACTGGTGTCACAATTTCAACCTAATATTACCGTATTTCAAAGAAGGTACATCTGTAGCGTTGCGTGCTTACTTTTTTGATGACTTCGTGATAACCTACCTCTATTTAAATATGTATTAATTGGTCGACCATAGAGCACTTTTGATTACCATATTTCTAAACTTTTTAGATTTTAGGTTTTAGCTTGTTCTTGTCTTTAGTTGACTGATGTCAATGCATTTTTCTGTCAGTGACTTTTTAAACACTTGCCTCTCTACCAATAGGTTTTAAACTGCAGGTTCATCTCATTTAATTTGGTTTAGACAACTAGACAGTGTCTCCAAATCTAATTGGAAGTGTAACTCAAAGCCGAGTACACGAACGTGTATTTGATTGAGTAGATTATATTGAATATTTTGTAGATTTATCCCACTAATATGTATTTGGATCAAGTTTTTCTCTCAGTAGTATGGTTTCCCATAGTAATACTATCTCATTTTACAGACAATTATATACATATATATTAGCTTGGTATAAATATGTGTATTTGCCTGGTAATAATAACGTTCTTATCGATTTCATACAGAGTAGAAGTATGCACGATATAGAGTACTTATAATTAAAAGTCCACCCTGATTGTGTTTTAGAAGAAACTTTTACTCTATTATTTTTTTATTTGTTTGTTTCTTAATACGGATATTCACTAGACAACACTTAGTTTATTTCGAATGCCCCAGTATAGATTGTTTGTATAGAGACGCGTTATTGGGGCATAACTTTTAAATTCTGTTTTTCATCAATATATAGCTACCACAAGTTGACATCAGTCACAAAGTCATAGGAAATTCAACAGTACTCGGTGTTTTACTTAATTACATTTCTATTAGGCTGAATGGTCATACACTTCTGTTTCTTATTTGAGTTATTTAAACAAAACAAAATAGGCTCGGTTGTAGTAACTGCTTTTTTCTGAATCACAGTTTTGTTGTGTATGTCTATGTAATATTGCCATCATGAAGTAATCGGCTATATAAGAAGGTTCGAAATTCCCCTATAATTTATAACATCTCCTATTTTTATTAATGATTGCATCATAATATCAATCTGCTTTTAGAATTTCTAAAAGCTATTCAGATTGAAAATCAATGCGAAATAAGATAATATTAAGAAAAACGTGACGCTTGTTTTTGAGATTACAATTTGCTTCGTAATTGTATACTCTCGATTTATTTTGATTAAACATTTTGACATAGAATAATAATAATATCTAATAAGTATGAGTAATGATATTGTGTCTAATCCTATCCGATATTTATTTATGACAAATTGTGTTTTGATTATCCGACATATTTCAACAATTTTTTCTGAATGCGTTTCCAATGGTCAATCGACATCATATGGTTTACTATTAATAGCACAGTATCAGTAGTATATTTACCCCTCCGTTACTAATTTACAATACTGAACTTTCAGTAGTAAATTTTTATGTCTACTTGAGTACACAAAGTTATAGTACTGTTTACTGAAAAGTAAAGTATACTGTACTAGTTTGTTGTACTCGCTTCTAAGTGCTGTTTTAATTCATTCATTCAGCTACAACGTGGGACCCTCTTCTTTACCTTACTGAGCGTCTTTGTTTATTCAATTCAAGATTGCCTTTTTTCAGGGTTGCTTACAATTTTTTCGCAGACATTTCAAGAGAATGATGATGTTGCTCAGCAAAACCTCAGCATTCATGTTGTATGTGCCACATATCCACCTGCGATCTGACTTAATAAGTTTGTTGTTAGCAATTACTATAAGATCTGTGCATACTTCGTGGAACCAACCTAAACATTTGTCACACTGCATAACAAGGATGTTAGTCAGCTACAATGTAGGACCAGGCACATATGTGCATCGATCCAAGTTGACATACCTCATTAGTACAACAAGATGAACACCAAATTCATAGAACTAGTTACTTCAATGGCAGTAATATATAAAAGAAAGATTGTGTATAAGCATATAGTACAGGAAGAAAGAATTAGTTTGTAGAAATAAAGGTATAAAGCAATTTTAATCTCACGGTTAAAGTGCAGACAAAGAGTGAATACGAAAACGCCATTGTGATCGATTATGTGCCATGTCACCCACAGTCTCCAACCATTGGTTACGATAGTCACATGGACCTCAACCAAGTAGTCTGCATCTACCGACATGGCTCAGAACAGAAGTTAGTGACTTCAATGACTGATGTCACGTTTTGGTTTGGCTGCCATAATGTTCTTCCAACCATCTCCAACACTGGTCAGCATTGCGCGTCGTGGTAATCGGTGTTCAGGCGTACGTAACACGTGGCCCAACTATTTCAGTCGATGAAGATTTACAACTTCATCAACTGATTTACCATCATTCCATAATACCTTGTGTCTAACCTCACTATTACTTACCCGGTGATCCCAGTAGATGCGAGCAACATTTCTAAGGCATCTGTGGTCAAATACCTGTAGCTTACCAGTACCTTCTACTGTTAATGGTCACGTTTCGCAGCCGTAAAGTAGGACAGTACGAACTGCCGCAC